GCCTCCAAGCATTGTTTCAGCAGGTGTCTTCTTTTTACCCTTTATTCAAAACTTTTTGTTTTTATCTTTTTCTTTTAATTGAAAGGAAATGAATAAGTGCACAGCTGACCAAAACGTTTTAGCTCTTAATCTAGCAAAATTTGTTTTCATCACAGCTCTCCAAAGTGAATTAGTTGCTTAAGTGAAAACAATTAACCATTATTACTGGAAATGAATTATTTATTGGAATGAAAGTAATTCTGTTTGGTCTTTGTTACATGTAGCAACTCTGCAGTAAATAGGTAAAGTGATGTAACAACTGAAGTGATGATGATGTGATAAATACTTTTTATTGGCTTTGTTTTTTCTCTTTAAATAGTTTTCTTCTTTTTCATTTGAGTGACTATTATAGCAAAATTTTTCTGTATATTAATTAAGTGTCCTTTTCCTCTTTACTATTGTCGTGTTCTTGTAGATTTTTCTGAAAATAGATATTGTGACACAGTGATGCAGTTTGATTTGAAAATAAAGTTTCCTTTATTATGATGTTATTAACATTATTATAATATACTAGGGATGTTGCAAAAATATTTTCTTGTTCTAGGAAACAGATTTCATCCATTTGATTTTAACTGCAGTTATTTTGCACAAACATTCAAGGGGTGAAAGTGATATTTATGAATATTTTCTGTGTTAAGAGCAGTAACTAGTCTTTTGAGTCAAATTCAGGCATGTATTGCCTGTGACATTAAATCAAACAAATATCACCCCTGACATATAGTAACATATATTTGGCAAAAATACAGAAAGATGATTTCAAGAAATTAAAAAAGGTTTTATGATATACTTGTTCATAGAGTGTTATGCTTGTTGTTAAACATTCAATTAAAATATTTTTAAGAGCCTGTGCTGTTCAGTCTTTTGTAGCATTTGATAAATAAAATATTGTAACAGATGATTCTATATTAGACTTCCAATATGTCAATTATTTGAGAATACAAAATTAAGAGTGTGTATCTTTTTATTTCAGGTCAGTTTTATATTACCTAGAGACGTGGGACATGAAACTTCACCCAGTTGATCTTCCAGCCAAAGTCAGGATAAGAGAGGTAGACATTTTTTTGCTGGGTTGTTTACGTCATTTTCACACATACACATTCTAAGTCTAACTGTCATATATAACATAATTGCTTAATATGGTATAAAAAGACACAGAGTGAGTGTTTGGCCTTTTTAGAAGTAACAAAAAAAAAAAAGAAATTTCAACACATTTTACTTAATCACCAAGATATACCATATTAAAAAACATTCACTAAATTTTGATCCATAAACCCTTTTTATAGTTCTGTTGTCTAGATTTTGAGTCAACCTCAAATTGGATATAGATGACAAAATGAGTAACATAAAACTCTACCTGGAAATGAGGTTTATGGATTGTTCTTTTCTCAGTGGTTTTGAATAGGTTATAAAGGGAAAATTGCTATTTCTAGTCTAAATTAATATCCTTGTGAGCATGGTCCTTGATTAATGTATTTTCCAGTAATTCTACCTGATGATTAGTGTTAATGCCACAGAATTAGCTACTACAGTGGTAATAAAATGCTGATCTTTTTAATAGTCTACGATATAAGAATCATATGAATGCAAATTGTTCATGTCACAAATGAATTCATAACATACAGAGCAAGTTATAAAGTCTTTGATGACAACAGCCCTTTTTTATCCTCTTTCCATTTTCCCGTAGGTTGCTGTTGGTGCTGATCATGTGATTGTAGTGACCAATGAGAGAGTAGTTTACACATGGGGTGAAGGGGGCAAAGGTCAGCTAGGACATGGTGATCAAGAGTCTCTAACTAAACCAGAAATGGTAGAGGCGCTAAAGGGGAAGTCAATTACAAGGTACTAGGTTACTAAAAAGTGTGCCACTAAAGAGTTGAATCATTGACACTTTTCTTCCATATCTTAGAGCTTCACTGACAGATCAAAGATTTTGCTATGGGTGAGGGGGGTGGCATAAAGACTGCCTCATTCACAAACATGAAACAGAAGATGAGAGCATTTTTAAAGTGCAACATATGCCCTCCCCACCTCTTATCTGGATCCACCATTGAACCCAGTAAATTCTTTTTCTATAAATTTCAGTGATGTGAAAAAGTGATGTGTTCAAGATGTATCTCCTATTCCAGGGCGTGCTGTGGGGATTGTTTCAGTGTATTTGCCAGTGATAACGGCATCATCATGACATGTGGGGATGGTTCTAATGGCTGTCTGGGCCACGGAGACTGGTACTCCAACTCCAGACCAAGGCTTATAGAGGCTCTCCTCAGGTACAGTTTACACATTATAGAGGCTATCATCAGGTACAGTTTACACATTATAGAGGCTCTCCTCAGGTACAGTTTACACATTATAGAGGCTCTCCTCAGGTACGGTTTACACATTTTACAGGTTCTCCTCAAGTACATTTTACATATTCTACAGGCTCTGAGGTACAGTTTACACATTCTACAGGTTCTCCTCAGGTACATTTTACACATTCTACAGTATCTGGGGTACAGTTTACACATTCTACAGCCTCTCCTCAGGTTCATTTTACACATTCTACAGGAATCCCACAGGTGCAGTTTAATACAGGTTTTCCTTAGGCACAGTTTACACATTATGGAAGCTCTTTTCAGGTACAGTTCACACATTCTACAGGTTCTCCTCAGGTACATTTTACACATTATAGAGGCTCTCCT